AGATTTGAATGGAGAATGTCCCCACGGTTAGGGGGGTTACGGCCTTCCGCCTGACAAGAATGGTAGAATTATGTTTCACCTGGGAACTGTGGGTATTATCAGTTCTTCCTTCATGCTTTATCTCTAATGGTCTAAAACGATAGGGTTTGGAGGCCTCTTTGTTTTGGGACCTTCTGAGATGAATAAGATAGAAAAAAAGAAAGATAAAATTATTGTGCAATGTATTACATGATACAAACATGCCAAAACTAGAAGAGGTACTACATCTCAGGCACCACCACCACCTAGTCTCTGCACAAAAGAGGCAGTAAACTGGAACAAAGGAAAAAGAAAGGTCATGATCAAGCAAGAGACTAATACTATTGCCACAGCAATGGTTCTCATACCTCAAGAAGCCCAGAGGCTATTAGTTTACATCCAGATGTAGAAAGGCAACCTGACTGCAAAGAAACTCAACCTGGCAGCTCAAAGTAGTCAAAGAACAGCCCCAGTTCTTCAGCAATTCTTTAGTGGCATCCACAGAGCCACTCTTTTAGGACGCAGAAACATCCCTTCACAGGACATGGGAAGCTCTCGTGGAGAACACCAGATACAGGGTTTGGTAATGCTGCTCTGACTCCTGTACACAGCCAGAGGAAGTTGTTGCCCTGTTGCCTCTCTTGCCTTTGAAAATGTTCCCCGTGACAAGCATTTCAAAACAACAATAACTGCAGTGTGAACAATCATGACAAATATTTTCAGAAGGCAGTAAGAACACAAAATATATGGGGCACTGGAACACACACAGCAGGAAGACATATAGCACCTTCAGACTATAGCGCAAATGCAGGGACAATATAAAGTACATTGAAAAGCCTTATTTTCACTCACGCCCCTACCAAGCGGGTATTCGCTGCCTAAATGTATGCATCACATGATGAATAATTCTTGGTAGATCATGCCAAGTTTTCCCAAAGGCCTTCTTACCCATATGAAAGGGATCACAGACAACTAACATGCAAATTGCAGCCCTCTTATATGCAGCAGAAGAGCACATGCAACATACGGGTGGCTTTACTCTAGTTCAGCCTTTTGTGCTTTCTCATTCATTGGGGTTTTTTGCTGCAGTCCTTTCTGCTGACCACTTGTACACTGATTCACCAAATCAGAAATCCCTTCAGCTCTCTCATTCTCAGCAGATGTGTTGTAACACAGACATTCATAACTGATGAGGGGACAGAAAAAAAGAAAAAGTGAAAACGAAACTTACACAATCGCAAAGCCAGGAATTTCCAAATTTCAGGTTATTTCTGCAAGTCTTGGTTTAGTTGAGGTTTTTGCTAAAGCACTGGTTGTCCATTTGTGCAACTGTGACAAATACAGTTTTACAGGGGTCAAAGGTGGTCAAGCTCAAAGCAAGGAAAAAATGCTCCAAAGCTGTGAAACTCAAAGGATCAGGGCTAAAACACTAATTAAACTATTTTAATTGCTCAATTTAAAAAATGCATGTTTCTCCTGCAGTCTCATGAATTTGAGACTAAATTTGTGATTTCTCAATGCTTGAGGTTAGCAATACTTGCAAAAAGGCATGAACCCAATAAGCTGACCTGCTAGCCACGGGAGGAGAGGTTAAGTGGAAGAGTAAATAACCTGATGTATGAGTTGAAACAGCAAGAAAAACTTAGTCTCAACAAGATTTCGACCCTGCTGACATTCCTTCTAACTTGCTCTCTCAAACTCTAGTGCAGTTGAGATCCGAACCTAAGGTTCACAGAGACCAGCCTCCTACCTTCTGATGCTTTCTACCAAGTGGTAGATAAATCCAGCCTTATATTGTGGCTGAGTTAGTGTGAAAAGGAAGTATGTATCCTTCCCAGTGTAGGGGGAGCTTTCTCCTTAAGAGCCCCTGCTCTGGCTGTGGCGGTTCAGACTAACTAGAAATGCCAGCAACTACCCAGATGCATGACAGAGGAGCTGGGACTACTTCAGACAGCGCAGGGACAGTGGGATGTTATGATGAACTGTAATTCATTTACCTTATATTCCTAAGCAAAGTGACACATGAATGCGAGATGCCAGATGGAGTAAGCTGACTGAAAGCAGACAAGATGGGTTTCAGATGGGACCTATATTTATGCAAGACTAGAAACCAAAGGCAGAGAAACAGCAGAAAAGCTGCACAGGACAAAAGCCTCACCATACATTCAATAAAATACAGTTTCTTTCAGTCATCTTTACCTTGGCTTCCTTTGGCCAAGTCTGTAAAGCAGTGAGGCATCACATAAGGGATGCAGGTGTTCACAGGGGCCCCTACAGATGCATGCAAGTATTTTAAGGTGTAGCAAGGATTGACGTTTTTGTAAGTCTGGTGCAGTGAGATGTACTCTGTTCTTGTGTGATGCACTCAGCTCTCTGAATAGAGAGCACCAAGTCCAAGGGTAAAATATTGTTTTTCTCTTAGTATATGTAGCTCCAATTAACCTTATTGGAGCATTGTGGGTACACTGAGAAGATTACACTCCTTAATGTGCAGTTACAACTGTACTGTAAATGAAACATTTGATGCTTTCTATTATGGTTCAAGACCACTACGCTCTTCAAGACTGTTATAAACCTCAGAAAACAGGGGTTTATAATGGAAATGCTGAAACACTCAACTCTAAAAGCCCTGGCAGAGAGGAAATATAGTTATAAATTCAGCTTCTCTTTTCCAGCATATACATTGGCAAGTTATGAATAATAGGTATTTCTACAGTTACGACAGATGTACACACCGCTTAGGATAACCTTTGCTGTAAAAGTGGAGGATGGAAAGAGCTCAAAGTGGAAAGAGCAACCTTTCCTCTTGTCTCTTACAGAGTTACTGCAATTGCAATAATGACATAAAACCAGCAAGTGAAATTTGGTAGCCTGTGCACCAGGGTTGGATTCTGAATGCATCTTTTTAAAAAGGGTGCGTTATGTTTCTGTGGTCAGCAAGAAAAAGGCACGAGCCCTCCCCAGCCCCCTCAGCCTCCTTTTTTTTAAAAAAAAAAGAAATTGGCTACTTGGATACTGTTCAGATGACATTGCAAAGCAACCTGCTATCCAGTCATAAATGGATATTCTCTATATATTCTCTTCTATATATAATCTGGTCCCTAGCTTCTTAACACTACCAAAAAGCAACATTTCAACCAGCAATTACTGGACTTGCTAATGTAAAAAGACCCTGCTCTGTTTGGCAAGAGAAAGATGGGCAGGCAACTGTACTATGACTGGGGCTGAGGCAATTGGGAATTTCTTCAGATATCAATAGCAATAGCAGAGGTGAAATATAATATATATATAATATAATATATAATATATAATATATAATATATAATATATAATATATAATATATAATATATAATATATAATATA